TCCTAATAAACAATCGTGGTACAAAGCTCAATAAAAATATTAAAAATTTAAATATTTTAGTTGTGGAAGTGACGGTGGGAAAATATGTGAACCAATTGGTTACTTAAGTGATCCCTTAAGTGAATCATTTATATCAGGAGTGGTACAAAGTGGTTCCGTAGGAACCACTGCTTAATGTGTGGCACATACTAGTTGCCATACGCAAACTTAGTAAGTTGTTTAATGCCATATATATGCAGTTTTCTTCTTCCACAAAACAAATTTCTTAGTCCCATAGTTCTGCAGTATACAATGGAGCTGGAGATTGCCAATTTGAAAGCGCAAAATAAGCAGCTGCTTAAGGAGAACGCAAAACTTAAAGCCCAGCTGGACGAAAATGCATCTTTGATGTATTCCATTCGGTCCATATTCACAGATGGACAGGCTAGAAAAATGATTGCAAAAGGTATGTATAAAATTAAACTAAATTCTGTAAATTTGCTATTAGATTTTATTTGTTTTGTAGACAAAAACGTTAGATGGTCGTGGAGCGATATTTCCAGCGCCATATGTATTCACGCTGCCGGACCCCGAGCATATAGGCATATCTGTATGCGAAAGGCTTCCCCCTGCCACATATAAGCACACTTCAAAGGTGGTACCGCAAAATTAGTGTTGGCGAGGGAATGTTATCCGTTGCATTGGACTTAATGCGCCACATTCACGAGCTCACTGCCGTCGAAAAAGTGTGTGTGTTGGCTTTCGACGAGATAAAGGTCACCGAATCTTTTGAGTATGAGCCTACCGACGACTTCGTCAGGAATCCGGCAAATTATGTTCAAGTGGTTATGGCGCGCGGATTATTAAAATCCTGGAAGAAGCCAGTATTTTACGATTTTGATTGTAAAATAACCCTCGAACTTTTGCATACGATTGTTTCGGCTGTGCAAAATGCTGGCTTGTTCTTGCCATGGTCTGCGATATGGGCCCATCCAACCAAAAGTTTTGGAGAGACCTCGGCATCACTCCAGGTATATATTTAATTCACTAATACATTTTCTAAAGCTAATTAGCAATTAATTAGAACACCCATGGTTCACCAACCCTATTGATCCAGAGGCGAAGGTTTTCGCATTTTCGGATGCTCCGCATCTGTTGAAACTTATTCGAAATCATTTTATTGATAGTGGATTTGTTTGTGTAATAACTACGCGCGCAATAGTTGATGTTATGACCGACTATCTAAAATAGTTGATGTTATGACCGACCTATATATAACATTCAAGTTAACAGAAGAGCACTTAGCTGTAAAAGGGATAGGTATGTTAATAATAACTATTCTATAATCTCGTAGCTAATATAATTCACGCAAAATTTCAGGAATACAAAAGGTAAAATTGGCGACACAGTTGCTTTCTAACACGACTGAAAAAGCCATACTGCGCTGCTACGCTCTGTGGTTGGACATAGAAGAAGCGATTGAGACAGCTGAACTAATTCAGTGAACGATTGGTACGACGTGCTCAATTCCTCCGTTAAAACATTCAATTATCCTGGAAAGGTAATATTTCTTAAAGTTCACAACTTATTATCTGCACATAACTTACTTAATTTACTGGTCGGCCGCTGTGGTGTAGTGGTAAGCAGTGCGCGCTTCCACTCCGCAGCACCTGGGTTCAAACCCTGGTCAAAGCAACATCGCAAAAAATATAGAAAAAACGTTTTTTCTTAACAGCGGTCGTCTCTCGGCAGGCAATGGCAAACCTCCGAGTGTATTCCTGCCATGAAAAACAGCTTCTCATAAAAATACAATCGCCGTTCGGAGTCGGCGTAAAACTGTAGGACCCTCCGCTTTGTGCAAGGCGCACGCCACAAATCGGAGGAGAAGCTCGGCCAAACACTAACATATGTGTAAGCGCCATTCTATTATTATATTATTATTAACTTACTTAAAGGGACCATTTGGAAGGAAGGTGCAGCGACAGCCGAGATTTTGGGACGGATGAATAATTTCATGTCAGATGTTATCATCCCTCTCAAAAATAGCTTACAACAATTTCAAAGGGGTGTTTTGGTAACAAATAACGCACTGTTACTGTTTAGACGCGACTGCTAACACCAGGCGCCTAAATGCATGCTATGTACTGCTGCATGTGCAAAAATTTCCTTCATTAAATTAATGAAATTTATGTACATGCACTTCTCAACTGCCATGTAATAAAAGTTTCTTAAGTTTTAATTTGATGGCAGTTCAAAGTATGCTCGGCCTAGTCTGATGCATCCTCCGGACACTGCTTCCGGAGTCTTCTGCGGACTCTGCATGGCTTACAACCATGCGGAGGTGGTAATAGTTGAATACCATTGGCCACAGTGCCTACCCACTACTTTTTGGTCCAATAAATATTTTTTTATATACATACATACATGCAAACATACTGGTCTCCACTCTCACTGAGTTATTCAGTTACAGTTGTACGAGTATGGTAGTGAAGTAAAACTTCAACTACGTGTCACACGGCGTTTAAATCAAGATTTGCTGGATCACTTCTTCGGAAATATACGAAGCAAGGCAGGATTAAACGACCAACCTACGCCTAAGGAGTTTAGGTACAGGCTCCGAAAATACATGTTAGGTAAGTTTGCCAAAAATTATCTTTTAAATGTATATTTAATTGTATATTATCCACACCTGTATACCTAATCTCAAACCAGTTGACGACAATATTCGGATCGCTATCGGAAGTAGCTGACGTGTGTTATGAATGTCGCAAGGTTATGATAGCGATACGATATTTGTCGCTGACTCGTTTGAGAATAGCACCAGATGAATCGGAATTAGGAGAATCAGTGCCTTTGGAAGCAGAATCAGAGGTCGTTGGCGCTCTGAGTGTCGCTCATGCCAATGGCGATGGCGATGTGCTGGAATACGATCCAGATGTGCTAGTAGGCGAAACTGATGTGCTGGAAGGCGATAGCGGTGTGCTGGAAGGCGACAGCGATATGCTGCATGGGGGTACTGATGTGATACATGGCGATGATGATGTGCTGCAAGGCGACAGCGATGTGCTGCATGGCGATGCGCTAGAATATATGGCTGGATATATAATTCGCAAGCAACATCTCAGCGAGCACGAAGACACCAGTAACGCAACTTTTACGTGGGTCGATCAGGTGTCGAAAGGGTACCTTAAAAAGCCTTCACCCCTTTTTGTAGACCGTATTAGGAGCTTGGAGTCGGTATTCCTTGCTGTTAATTTACAGGAAATAGCACACTGTAAAAATATAAAGCAGCGCCTTCTGAATAAAGCAGCTAACGTAGACCTTCCAGACAGCGTCAAGCAATTTTTCTTTAAATGCCGGATACTGTTTAGAGTGCGCCACCTAAACAAACAATTGGAACTGAAGAAGGCAAAGCAAAGGCTGGTACGGTACAACAAGTTAAGTAAAATCACTCTTTAAACTGGTAATATTAAATATTAAATTATTTACGTTCAAACTTTTAATCATATTTAGATATCAGAAATCGTATCCAATTTAAATTGAGCAGGCATACGTCTTAGTACAAGCTTCCAGGCATTAAACGCAGTCAGTACCTACCAGTGTCAGTATTATATCCGCACTTACATTTACATATATATGTTTCTTTTATATAATAATCTATGTGATAATATAATTATCTAATATGATATAATCTATTTCCAGATTTCTCTGCGCCAATGAACCGGCTATCACAACGCCTACTGCATATTTGCAACGTACCTGCAAACTTACATCTTAAAGGCACGTTCCCTCGGTCACGTGTTAAACATTGTTTCACCACCCACTGGCGAGGTAGCAACGCCACCGTTGGTTGTGTCGGTTAGTCACAGCAAAGATGAGAATCGGGCCTGAAAATGTCAGCCGGAATTAAAATCCATGGCAACGCTTGTTGGTACTTGGGATTTCAAACAGGTGAGACTATAGCTTAAATATTTGATGAACTTAATGATATGTACGTAAGTTTCTATTTTGATTGCAGATGCGTATTTCCGTATCACAATTGGAGTTGTTGTCTGAGCAAATTCAGTTGAAAGCTCCATCATTTGTGGTCACTACCATCAATCAAAACAAGCACATCCATGCGCATTTATATCCAATGGTGTTTATTTACACCTTAGAAGTACTTTCGAATGTTCATAAAACTTTGATACTTTGTACATACCCAGCCAGCAAGAAAACGTACATTTTACGAACTTTTTATCCACGACTTTTTATCCAGTTTCTCTTGAAGAAAATATCCAGTTACGAGCTCGTTTAAGTTATATATGAAACATAAAATGAAGGATAATTTATGTCAAATGTTGAACTTAGTCCCACCTTTTTGTACATATTTCCTGACACTCTTTTGTACTCAAAACACTGTGTTATTTGTTACTTGAAAGAAATGTAATATTCTAGTTCGATCATGAATACTGTAGATCATTTTTGAAGTGTATAACTTTTGTATAAATATCGGTGCCATTTCGAAAAATGTAGATCTTTTTGTTGTAAAATTCAAATAAAAACAACAAATTTAAAAAATATAATTTTCTTTTCCTTCGGGAAAAATTATATTGAAAGTGGCGCAGTCGGTAGGATACCCTTTGTAAAATAACAAAGAATCCTTACAACGAAAACCGATTTTTTGAAACTTACCTTTACTTTACTTACTGAAAACTTACTTACTTGAAGCTCGCAGCAATCAAGAAGCCCGAATATCTTCCCATATTGCGTAGTCCATAGAGGAGCGCTTCAAGGACCATGAATTTGCAACCAGCAAATGAAAGCTTAGCGGCCACAGCCAACATATCAGCCCATAATGCAGCATCTTTTGGTAACAATCAATTAAGAAATTTAGACTTGAATCCCCTTAAATATATTGAGCGGTTACAAAATTTTGATGGACGAAAAGAGGATTCACCAATTTTCCTATCCACTATTGACGACATCATTCCAACGCTTAGTTTGTATAATGAGCACTCGCAACGAATGGGTATTAATATGATTAAAAGTAAATTAACTGGACGAGCCAGACAAGCCATAGAAATATATAGCCATTTGTGTCAGTGGTCAACTATTAAGCAAAGCTTATCGGGCCGCTGTGGTGTAGTGGTAAGCAGTGCGCGCTTCCACTCCGCAGGACCCGAGATCAAACCCTGGTCCAAGAAACATCGCAAAAATTATAGAAAAAAGGTTTTTTCTTAACAGCGGTCGTCCGTCGTGCCATGAAAAACAGCTTCTCATAAAAATACAATCGCCTTTCGGAGTCGGCGTAAAACTGTAGGTCCCTCCGCTTTGTGTGACAATATCAAGGCGCACGCCACAAGTCGGAGGAGAAGCTCGGCCAATCACTAACATATGTGTAAGCGCCAATCTATTATATTATTATTATTATCCGAAATTTTGGTAGTTTTAAAACGAGTTATCAATTGTATGAAGCTTTGCGATATTCCCAATATAGAGGCGACGTGGTTAGTTTCTACAACCATATTCAAAAAACACTTACTACTCTAAATCAAAAGTGCAAGCAAGAAAATAATACCATTCCGCGAAATATTGAAGCAGCTTTAAATACATTTAAGCATAAGTTACCAGTACATATGAGGACAATTTTATATGCATCAAAGCCACCCACCTTAGAAGAGGCATTACACGAACTGACCGCTGCAGGGTTTTTAAATGATTCAAATACTTCTGACAAGCTCTTCCACAAAACTCCGAAAAACTATCAAAGTTATTGAAACGACTCCAAACAAGCTAAAAATAGTAGCTTTAAAACTAGTCATCCGCAAAAACAGTGGCAGCCAAAAACTTGCAATAGTAACAACTTACAACATAATACTTATTTTAAACAAAATAGTTTTGGAAGTAAAACACAAAATCAAATGCATGATCCACCTAGATTTAAAGATAATAATTCAGTTGAGTCAATGGATGTAGATGCGTCTATACAAACAAGACAGTCGCAAACAAACTTTATTGAAGACCGTCAGGATTTTCAATTAACAGGCTCGAAAACGAACCTACCCTATATTCGACTAAAAACAATAACTGTAAATCTAAACTTTTAATTGACACTGGTAGTACAAATAGCTTACTAAATGGCGAAATTGTCCAGCTAGTACAATACGAAATCGTGAGAAATAGTTAAATATAAAGACTGCCTTAGGTAGTATTACCATTTTTCAAGATGCGATCATACCTCAAAACCGCACATCTTTACCTTTAGCCAATGACAGTACCTTTCATATTTACGATTTCCACTCTAAATTCGACGGATTGATAGGAAATGACATACTAGCTCTGATCCAGTACTCCATGAACTTACAGGATTTTACACGAACTTGCAGGAAGTGGCACGAAAAATGTTCCCGTACTCCAAAATCCTGTAATTGAGAGCGACTTTTGGAGAGTTGTGTAGAGAATGAAGTTGCAAGATTTTACCCGAACTTTTTCTGCTGGTAAAATCATGAAAAGTGTCAAGCAATCACTGGTTGACGTTTTTACAGGAAAAATGGATTTTTTGTTCACGTACTTTTTGTTGTTACTCACTTTTTACTCTCACTTCAGAGAGTAATTTTGCTGTGTGACAGTTTTACAGGATTTTTCACGAAAAGTATTGGATTAGAGCTACTACAAGAAAACAACAGTATAATGAATTATTAGAGTAAAACACCTTAGACGATCAAACTTTACCAATATTTTTTGACTACGAGGACGAAAGGTACTAGGACCTACATACTAGCCATTTGGAAAAACTTAAGCCATATCCAGAAATATGGAATTTTAGAAAGGATATTAGGATTGATCCCTTGAATGAGGAAGAAAAAGAGAAATTAATAGATCTCTTAAAAATTCACAAGAAAGTATTTTATAAAAAAGGAGATGACTTAACGTTGAGTTGAATCATTCTATACCAACCAAAAACAATTCCCCTATTTATTCACGCATATATCGTTATCCTGAAATACATAAAATAGAAGTTAATAGGCAAATAATAGAAATGTTAAATCAGGGTATAATTAGCCATAGTACTTCACCATATAAAGCACCAATATGGGTTGTGCCTAAAAAAGAGGATAACGTAGGTAATAAGGAATGGCGAATAGTCATAGATTATAGAAAGCTTTATGAAGCTACAAAAGACGATAAATACCCAATACCTAATATCGAGGGAATTTTAGATAAGCTAGGAAGAGCTAATTATTTTACTACTCTTGACTTAACCAAAGGGTTTTATCAAATCGAAGTAAAGCCAGAGGACCGAGAGAAAACAGCATTTAGTACTCTAGACGGACACTATGAGTTCAATCGAATGCCTTTCGGACTGAAGAACCCACCAGCCACATTCCAAAGACTGATGAATAAGGTTTTGCACGAGTTTATAGGAAAAGTTTGTTATGTATATTTAGACGATATTAAAATGTTTTCCACCACTTTGGATGAGCATATTAAAAGTTTATCACAAATATTAAAAACTCTTCAAAACGCCAATTTGAAAGTCTCCTTAAATAAAAGTGAGTTCCTTAAGCATAAACGAAATTTTTAGATCATATAATAACTCCAGATGGAATAAAACCAAATAACGACAAAATTCTGTGTATATAAAATTTTCCTATTCCCAAGAGCTTTAATGAAATACAATCTTTTCTAGGACTCACGGGCTATTACCGAAAATTTATTCAAGCTACGCCAAAATAACAAAACCACTAACTTTGCGATTAAAAAAGGATTGAATATATGTTAATGCTACGGATTATAAGGAAGCATTTGAAAAACTAAAGTATCTTCTAAGTAGTGATTTAGTGATACAATATCCCAACCAAGGCACATTAAACAGGTAGTATCAGTAGAGCAAAAACAACATTTGCGTGTATTTTGTTGTTGCTTCTGGTATCGAAAGTGTCAAAAACTGTTCTGAATTTTTTCTTCTATATCAAAGCGTGCCATGTGAAATACAAAAAATTATAAAAAATAAAAAATTGAAATTGGAAAAAATAAAAATTGTTGCAACTTTCTTTCCTAGTAAATTTGTTTGCTTCTCGAAGCATTGATCCATCCTTTACAAGGGCCAGTAATCAGCGGTTGTGCTGCTGAGTTGGGCGAACGTTCCAAATCTGCTATTCAATCGCTTGTTTTGTATGGAAAAAGGTTTCACATGCAAATGGATTTTAACAATTCAGAATTTTTGTGAGAAAAAATTAAAAATATTTGACATTTTCGAGACCAAATAATTTGAAAATAAATCAAATCAGCTGCTCTACTGATACTACCTGTTCAATGTACCTTGATCCCAACTTTCAAAAGGAATTTACGTTAACTACAGACAGTGAATTTGCATTATTATTCTACAATTGAGAAAGAACTATTAGCCATTGTCTGGGCAACAAACCAATTTAGGCATTATCTTTGGGGGCAGAAAATTTCAATTAAAAACAGATCATAGGCCATTAATCTGACTAAATAATTTAAAGGAGCCAAATTCTAAAATTCAAAAATGGAAAATTTTACTTAGTGAGTAAAAACAAACAAAGTTTAGATAATCATTTCCTCTGCGGTACTAAGCATACATCTGAAGGAAAGAAGGTTAAACATGAAAACCAATGCAAACTTCGAAGAAATGTACGTACCATTTGTAATAAACGTTATAAACGGACGAACACACTTACACAACACATGGTAAACCAACACTACAGAGCAATAGACAGGCGACTAACGTACTGCAGACTATTCGAAATGCCCAAAATTAATGTAATAAAGGAATTGAAGTAAGTGAAAAACTACTTAATAGGCCTTATCATGAGTTTCATTTTCCCCGAACCGGTTCACTTTTCACTTTTGGTTTCCATGTATGTATTTACTATGGGCGGATGACAAATTTTCGGATGATTTTTTTTTTTTTGCGAAACTCAGGATAAGGCAGAATATGTTTAAACAATAGTTTTAGTTTTAACGACTGAAGAGATTCCTTTATGCGACACTGTCGTATTCAGGCAACCCACATACTCTAGAAATGATTTAGTGGAAATATTAAAAAAATGCCGAGGGCAGAATACATGTATTTATTTTGATAATGAAGAGGTTTTTAAAGATTTCCAAAATATATATAATGACCTTAGATCATGGACAAATAAAATATATAAATGCACAAAAGTCTTACCTCAATATTCTGAAGAAGAAACATACGAAATAATACTTCGAAAACATAGGGAAGAATACAATCATCTAGGTATACACAAAACTTACGAAGAATTAAGAAGATAACTTTATATTCCAAAGCGAAAAGAAAAAATTACGAAAATTATAAATAATTGCAAAATATGCTCAAGAA